AATGCAACAAGTTTGAAAAACACTGCTATGAAATTGTCAGCACTGAAAATGTGAAATAAATGCCTGTTGTTGAAATAATGACAATTTAAAGACTTAGAATAAAAAACAATCATTACACACAAGAAAGAATTAATCTTTTCAAGAGAAGAGATTAAATATTTTTACATACTGATTTTATCAAAATAACCTTAAAAGTATACAAGATATTGGTAGTTGAAATTGAAGGAAATTTCATTTATTTTATTTTATTTTATTTTAACGTTTTTGCTGTGTAAACTGGAGCACTGTGGGATACCTAATCTTATGCCTTTTTATTTCAAGAGAAGTAAAATGCAACTGTAAACAATTTTTTTTTTCTTTTTTTTTTAATACTGGATGGTACTACATGGTCTGGTTGATTAAATCAAGATATTACTTTAGAATATTGAACATATAACCCAATAAACATGTTCAAAATATCCAAATCAATCACTGAAACATGACAGTGATGAAAAGTTCATGCTTTAAAGACTAGAATAAGCATCAAGCAAAATGAATGACTAATTACATACCAAAGACTGATTTTCATTCAAAGAAGTTGATGCTGTGTGTATGGTGAAATTGTTTGGGAGAAGCAAATGATTGCTTCAAACAAATACTATTTTCCATCTGACCAGCAATTGATGAAATGCTTCTATCCAAAATTAAAATATTACAAGCTTTTTCTTAACTTTCAGAAAAATGCTTGACATTCTGTGTCCAAAAACAAATTGTTATATCTTGTCTGTGAATTTTCCTTACCTGCTGAGTTTAGATATTTGCTCATTAAGATTGCCATTTAGACTTGTCTTTATATCTATATTTTCTGTAAAACTGTAAAAGTTACTTAGAACTTTCTTGGCAAAGAATTACTATGAGAATAGAATTAGGAATCTCTGAGCAAATTGAAAAAAGAAAAAAAAAATTTTTTTTTTTTTTTTTAAAAAAAAAAACCTCCAAAAAATAAGCAAGCATTGTCCACCCACTAGTAAAACTCATGATGGGTAACAGTTAAAATAAGCTTTTGACTTATTTGCTTAGCTAAAATTTACTTTTTAGCAATTGTGTGTGTGTGTGTGTGTGTTTTTTTTTTTTTTTTTTTTTCCTTCATTAAAATGGAAGAAAAATTTGGATAAATTCTTTCGGGTTCAATTCGTTTGTTAAAAAAAAAAAACATTTTAGTATCTGCTATCAACCAGTTTTTCAATTCAGACTATACCCTAACTGTGTCTTTTATAATCAATAGATTTAATGAAATTGTTTATTATATTACATTACAACTATTATTTCAAATTCTAAAATTTTTTAATATGCAATAATATAACCCACTAACCTGTTCACCTACCGCCTTTTGATTTTATATCCACTACATCTGGGGCATTGTTGAGAGGGAGACCAGCCAATTACCCCATAATATCAAGAACTCATTAGCAAACCTGAGCAAAAACTATTTGGCCAGGGCATGTAGTAGATTTATTGTTTTTATTTAATTTTTTTTTTTTTTTTTTTTTAATTTCTTTCATTTGTTCTCACTTGAGATTTTATATATATATATATATATACACGCACCTCTCTGTGTCATTAGCCACTTGTATTATAAAATTCTTATTGAAATCTAAAGGTTTATTTGCTTGAATGATAGCAATATCTACATGTACAGTTGGGATAAAAGTCGGTTCATTTCTGCAGATGTGAAAAAAAAAATAATTGCACCATTTGTATGGAATGTACTGAATTTTAAGACTTCAGATGAATGCTTTATTGTTGTGAGTTTGAAGCTTTAAAATGGATTCTCAGTTTGAAGGTTGGCTGGATAGATAAAAATGTTTACTATATTCAGCATTTTCAAAAGATAAACAATATTTGAGGAATTACAAAAATGATGGGCAGCTACCAGACTTACAATGTTTTTTAAAATCTCGGACATGTTGAGGATTTTTATCTTGCTGATTTGTCTCCTTATCAAATGACACATAAAAATCTGAGATTTTCAGGCTTTGTTGCAGCAAGTGTTGAAAAGCACAAGATGTCTGACTAAAATAATTGGCAAAATATGGCTGCTCATTAGGCCTCCTTTTAAAAGACCTCTATAAGAAAAATAGAATAAAATGTACTACAAGATATATGTATATTTACCTTGTCTCTTCACTGATACATGATGTGACAAGGTCGGGTTTATTGTGGGGAACCTGAGCACATACACTTGGGCCAGGGACAAAAAAATCCCTGACACCCTCCCACCAACAACCATTGGTTGCTCTGGCCTCTGTGGCGAACACTGATCATTATCTCTATTGCCATGAGAGGGTGCAACCTTGGGCAGGTGTTCCCCAGAGTCAGACACCTCACAGTATAATTTTCCTCATTTGTGCCTCTATCCTCCAACAGAGTTGCACTCTGCCTGAAGACACGTAACTGAGAGATGATAAACCCTACCTGACATGTGTCAGGTAAAAATATATGATAGTCAATTATTTCTCCCTCCTTACACCATTCTTTTTCACTATACTATTCTCACTAGACCAAGCAGATGATGGAGCATTGACTAGGTGGCTTCTGGCAGAAACCATCCTTACAGTTTGAGATGTCAACAAGACAGGTAGTGTGATATTTTGAGGTGGGACTATAGGTGATAGGCCTTGTGGAATACCAGATTTGTGTTATGATGACATTGATGTTTTTTTTTTTTTTTTGTCCAAGGCTTACAAGAATCCATAAATGCTTTTTAGAAAGATAACTTTTATATATGACAATGGTCCATCACATTCAGTAAACAAAAACTAATGAACATATAAAAAAAAAAAAAGAATTTTAAGGACATTTGTTTGAATTGGCCGACTTTTTTATCCAACCTTAAACCAACTGTGAACTTAGTGTTTTACACTGGCAGATGAAAATTTACTGTTAGAGATAAGCTTTGGATGAAGCCTGTTTTCATACGAAGAAATACAACAGCTTAAAAATCCACATTAGAATAACTTTAAAAACTATTTTGGAAATCTAGAGCCTATATTTTTGTATTAATGTTATTACAATGGCACTATTTTCAATCTTCTTTTCATAACATTTATCTTTGTAAAATTTGTACACATTCTATAATCATAATTTTTAATTAAAATCTAATTAATCTTGGTGTTTCAATAAACTGGCTAATAATGGGAAAACTTGAAAATCTGATAAAATAAAAAGAAACTCGTTACATTGTAAGAGTGACATGTTGATTATAATAATTTATACATGTCTGAAATACTGTGCTCATTGATAGTACAAATATTACTGTGAATGCCTTCATTAAATTAAAAATGACTGAGATACTGCATGTATTTTTATTTTTTTATTTATTTATTTTATTTATTTTTTTTTTTTTTGTTATTCAGGTTGCTATGAGTAAATTGTCACCATCTTATATTTTTAATTTCACACATGTGCATTATTTGTCTTTGATTTGTTGACTGCACAGTATATAGGGGTCAGTTAGGTACTGTCTGTGAGAAAAAGAGCATAATGCTGCAATTCACTTCAACAGAAATTTGGGAATGCCATGCTGTTCTGCTTGGCATTAACACTGGAAGTTCCAATAGAAAACATTTCAGTGTTTAGGTGTCAATCTGAGGACAGTACAGAGGATCTGGAAAGAGTTGAATGAGTCTAATGGTGATTACGAAGGTACGGCAGATCAGAAAACTCACTCTGATCATTCTGATAAAAGAACTCCTGAATTTGTTGGTAAGGGCCTCAGACTCAACTTGGAGGCCTACATCAAGTGCCCTGAGAAGGTAGTACTGCCCTGGATCAAAAGGGTGGCTGCTGGAAGATCCTATATCTGGCAACAGGATTCTGCACCATGACACACAAGCAGAACATAGTCATGGCTGTCAATTTCTGTGAACACATCACCCACTTACAACTGGCCACTTAACTCCCCAGACTGCAACCCCCTTGCTTATTATGTGTAGGGCGCAGTTGAGCGAGAGACCAACAAAACTCCTTGTAACACCAAAGACGAACTGAAGGCAAGGATTATGGCAGCATTCACCAACTTAAACAAGGAAACTGTCTGGAAGAGTTGCAGGAGATTCCGAAGTCATCTGGAGGCCATGGTTTGAAGCCAATGGCTTTTTTGAATAAATTTAGTATTTCAAGATACTTTTGATTAATTTTGGTAAATATATCTGTTAAAATGAGCTGTCAGTGTTATTTTCAATTTTTGTGTAATTTAGATGACAATTGATCCGTTGTCCCCCGTATATTGACACACACTTGACAAAATGTGATCAAACCGTTTTTCCATTGACACCACTTATTTCAACTACCTTCACTCCTCGGCAGCATTTGTTTTATAAAGTGATGACTAGAATTGAAATAAAACCTAAACATTATGAAAGTGAATTTATACATTTTCTCTGTTCTTGAGAATTGACTACTAAAATATTAAACACTATATTGTTTATTGGAATGGTTGGCTAATTGCCAATCGATTCAAATTTTATAAAATGGTAACTAAGAATTTCCTTATAGTTGCTTCATATATTTTAATAATTTGATATAAATTTATGAATAAAAATCGTTTTCACATTTATTTCTTTATAAATTGGTAAATGATAAATATTGCATTAGTTTTAATTCTATTGGATTTTAGAATCCTGTAAATATAAAATTATTCTTTTAACTAAACAATCTAATAAATTGTTGTTGGTAATTCTAATCATTGCTTTTTAAAATAAACATTGCTAAGGAGTGAAGATATTTAAAATAAAAGCAGTGTCGATGGAAAAGCCGTCCTTTTGATACCATGTTTGTTGTTGTTGTCCCCCCCCCCCCGGCACAAAGGTCCAAATTTAAAAATACTTTTTTAGTTTTTGGAGTCACTCCCAGAACTTTTCAGCAGTCTTAGTGTCTTTCTCTTATTTCTAATGGATTGACTTATTTGACAGTATAACAATTTGGCTTTTTTTTTTTTTTTTTCTTTTGTGTGTGTAAAGGCTCCACCACCATCTCGATCAACCATCCCAGCTCCACAACCAGCACAGCCTCCAGCATCTCAGCCAGCCATTATGACACCATCTGAGGAACCCCCACCGTATTCAGCGGTTGGTGCTCAGAAGGTGGACACCAGTGACTTGCAGCGTAGACAAGAGGTAAGTGCTAATTCCAGAAACTGTTGTTTTTCAGTAAATTTTACTGGAACATTATATTGTGTGTGTGATGGCAACTACCTCCTATTTTATTTAAAGGTTTGTTGTTGTTGTGTTTGTTTGTTATTATTATTATTATTTACTCATGTTTTTGTAAGACACTTGTCCGGCTGTGGTTGATTTGTATACTTGCAAATCAAAGAATGAAGTAATTTGACTCGCACTGTTTTGAGTCATTTGAAAAAAAATTCTTTTCACATCAAAAATCTATAGATGCTTTGTTTATGATATTTTTCCCCTTTGAATTGTCACTAGTACAATACATGAAAGACTTGCTTAAGCCTATTATCTGGTTGAAGAACTTTTTACAAGATTTTTTCAACCTAATGACATGTGAATTAAGGGCAGGGCATATTCTTCTTTTGCCTGATCTGTGAAGCTTTGTTAGAAAGTTTGTAAAATACTTACAGCATTGTTATTATATACTTTACTATTTCGGTTATCCTCTGCACTCATCTTAGTTGTTATATTCACAGCGTTTTGCCACTTGTACTCTTTGGCCTTCATTACGTATCTGTCTTTGTACTTAGTAACTTGTAATTTCAAATGAAACCATTTATTCGTTAATCGACAGGGCATATGATTGGGGGAGATAACTCCTCATTTGATACTCCCCAGTCTTATCCACCTTTGTGTCACTTCTCTATTTCTACTAAACCAGACTGTCATTTTCAGTTCTACTACATGCAGGCTGGTGCTAATAGCAAAGAATAATAATTCTTCTTCAAAATTCCAACAGAGATTGAAGATTCTTGTTCTTGTTTTACCTGAACACTCTTGGATAAGGCAGCATATATTAACTTTGCCCAACATCCTAACTTATTACAGATGTTTAAATATTTTAAGATTTGAATGTTTCGGAATTCTTTTTAAAAAGCATTGTAGTTTGTTGTTCGTTTTTTTTTTTTTTTTTTTTTTTTTGTTACCACAAACTATATTCATAACTTTTATACCTTGTTTGATACAGACTACTCTGAAATGGGTTGATTTAAAGAAAGCTTTATCTAGATAATTGCAACTTTAGTAAATGTTTGTTCGGCTATTGAAAGTGTATTTAACATTATTTTGCCGCTGTTAGGAATTGGAAAGAAAAGCAGCTGAATTGCAGCGGAAAGAACAAGAAATGCGGGATATGCAGTTTAAAAGTAAGTGCTTTTTTCCCCGTTTACTGATTATTTCTTTTAAAACAAAAAGTTGTATCTATATCTCTCTTTCTCATATTTTTATTTTTTCTCTGGAGTGTTTAATAATTTTCTTTAAAACTTGTACTTATGTAAGTATTTTTAAACCTTTATGCTCAGAGATTTAGTGCTAAAATGTAACTGCGGGAAGACAGGTTAAAAAAAAAACTTGTTATATCTAAAATCTTTTGATGTTATCAGAATGTGGTACACTGTACAGCTACATTGTAAAACGTAATTGTCAGTAATTTTTGTAAAAGATAGACGTGAACAAGGAACCAGTCTCACACATAGTTTTTTTTTTTATGTAAAACTCTTAAAATTGTGCATAAAAAGAAAGTGAAAACTATGAACTTAAGTGCTAGCTATCAATTGGATTACTTAAAATTTCACATGATGTGGTGTGAGTGCTGCTCAGATTTAATTTCCAATGGAATAGTGTTGAAATAATGTTTTTTTTTTTTTTTTTTTTTTTATATAAAAATGAAGCCCTAAAATTTGATATTTTAAAAACAATAAGCAGATGAAATTATTTTTTTTTGTTGAGGAGTAAGTGGCTACTATTCCATGTTTTTAAATTTTTCAGAATGATTTGAAGAAAACAAAATCATTTTTATACATAATGTTCACTTCTATCTTTAGCTAAAAAAAGTGGTTTCTTCAGATTTTTTTTTTGTTTTTTGTGTGTTGTCATTCCTGAAAAATGGAATGTCTATTGTCAAATTTTTTATTTACTTTTTTTTTTCATTTTTTCCAAATAAAGCTTCAAGACAAAACAATTGGCCTCCTCTCCCAAAGTGGTTTCCAATTGGTCCATGTTTCTACCAAGATTTCAGTGTTGACATCCCACTTGAGTTCCAGAAAACTGTCAAATTTGCATATTATTTATGGATGTGTAAGTAAAAAGAAAAATTCTATTATGTGGTGGGTAGAGGGATGAGTGAAGAAAATGTGATGGTTGCTGAAAATTTTATGAATTGGGACAAATGAGTTATGAAATCTCTTGTTTTTAAATTTTCTATTTTGAACTCTTATTTAAAAATCACTTTTTCTAAATAAAGAATGTATGTTTTGTTTGCTACCACTTTGTCATTGATTTGTTCACTTGGCCTTACAGTATAAACTTTGAAGTTAGCAGTTTTACTATTGCCTTTGCAAAAATATAGTGAAGAAAATGGTGACTTACCTTATCAAACCAAGCGACAGCGCGTTGTGTGTATCCTACGATGGAAAAGAAAATTACTTACCAAAAAAAGGGCACGTATTCCGCATGACATGCTGAAGATGGAATATTTAGATTAAAGACAAGTCTGTTGCAGGAGTCTCTATAAAAGTATTTTGATATGCAAGATACTTGCTGTCCTCTCCTAGATGTCGACGAATGAAAAACTCCTCGGCCGGTAAAAGCAGTTGGTGTTCTCGAATGGGGGGGGGACTGATGTATTTTGGTTACCGTGTTTGTCAGTGAGTGAGTTATTTTTCTGACTGGTTATGTGCATTGGGATTTGTGAGATAGTACCTGCGAATCGAGTTTTCGGCATTTCTTTCTGTCCCCGATATTCGAGTCTGAACTTAGTGATTTATTCTCTGTATTGTGGAATTAATCTGCGACAAACATTTCCTTTTCAGAACGCTTTACAAAAGATGAACACAAATCTTCAGTCCAACCGTGATTTAATTGCTCTCTAATTAAAAAAGAAAAAAAAAAGTCTCTGAATAAATTGAATTCTTCTTTCAACACGTCCTCTGCTCACAGCCCATTCTTCCCAACTTTTCTCTTTCTTTTTTTCCCTATGCATTTATGATAGATGATGTATTTGAATAAATGTTGTGCTTGTTAAGGTTTTTTTAATTAATTTTCTCCTCATTTGCTAGCTTCATCCTAACACAAGTTGTGATTTTTAACAACTGAATTGGCCAGAACTTCTCAGCACTGTGTGTGTGTTATTAGATAATCTCCCACCACTACTACTACTACTAATAATAATAATCTCAATAATAATCTCTCTCTTCCTTGTTTATTTCAGTTTATGTGTTTGTATTGTTCCTAAATATCCTGGGTAGTCTTGCATATCTGGTTGCTGCACCAAGTGATGGAGGTTCTACTTTTGGACTTTCATTAGTCTGGTTTTTTCTATTCACCCCCTGTTCATTTATCTGTTGGTACCGACCCCTCTATAAAGCATTCAGGTAAGTCGCTTTATTTTTTACCTTTTCTTACTGATCACTTTCTACTCTTTGAAAGAATCTTGTCAGTTTTCAAAGCAGTTTCATATACTTTTTTTTAATTTTTTTATTTCATTTTCTTTCCTATTTTCTTTCCTATTTTCTTTCCTATTTTCTTTTCCTATTTTCTTTTTCCTATTTTCTTTCCTATTTTTCTTTCCTATTTTCTTTCCTATTTTCTTTCCTATTTTCTTTCCTATTTTCTTTCCTATTTTCTTTCCTATTTTCTTTCCTATTTTCTTTCCTATTTTCTTTCCTATTTTCTTTCCTATTTTCTTTCCTATTTTCTTTCCTATTTTCTTTTCCTATTTTCTTTCCTATTTTCTTTCCTATTTTTTTCTATTTTCTTTCCTATTTTCTTTCCTATTTTCTTTCCTATTTTCTTTCCTATTTTCTTTCCTATTTTCTTTTCCTATTTTCTTTCCTATTTTCTTTCCTATTTTCTTTCCTATTTTCTTTCCTATTTTCTTTCCTATTTTCTTTCCTATTTTCTTTCCTATTTTCTTTCCTATTTTCTTTCCTATTTTCTTTCCTATTTTCTTTCCTATTTTCTTTCCTATTTAACTGTTAGAATTAAACTTAACTTTTAGAGAATTTGCTTTAAACTCATTTCTATTTTCACTTCGTTATTTAAATAAAACATTCAGAAAGTTTCTATTATGACTTAAAATGGATTGTTGTGTGCAATTGGACAGTGCCCCCCCCTCCCCAAAATCAAGAAAATGTCAACTAGATATTTATACAATTTATTCTCTAGATCATTGGTTCACAAACGGTGTGGTGCACCTCATAGGTGTCATGGAAGAGGATAGCAGATGAGGCGGAATGATGGAAAGACAAAGATTTAGAAACAGTTTTAAAAAATTCATATGTCAAAAATAAATGATTTTCAAATTTCAAATATTATTATGGATTCCTTGTAATTGCCTGCAGGAGTCCCAATATAAATAGTTATAAATAATTATTGGCCGATTTTATGTTTGATATTTTTGCATTATATAAAATATTAATATAGTAACTAGGGTCTGCAAATTGGAGGAGAGTTATCAATGATAATGTTCTGACTTCGATTCCGAGGTTATCTCCCTTTAACCCTCTTTTCTTTTTTTTTTTTTTTTTTTTTTTTAATTTTAAAAAATTTTTTTTTAAATCTACTTTTTATCACATAAAATTTGGTCATTCTGAAAATACAGCTCGTAGGAAAAAAGGTTGGGAATCACTGCTCTAGAGGAATGTGTTAATAGGTGAATTTTTGAAAAGAGATCATTTAATAATATAAATACTTTCAGGCAACTGAAAGCATATGTCCTTATTTTTATAATGATAGAGTGGCTAACCTTGGTTCTAGAAACTGATTTTACAAATGGTTAGAACAAAAGATCTAAATGTTGTTAGATATTGAATTGTTCCAAAATTGGTTAGAATGTTCCCATATGGAATTAAACTATTTGAAAATAATGAATAGTATAAAAATATATTTATTTATTTATTTTTTGTTCAGTATCTGTCTATATTTCTGAGATGAGGTATTATGTACACTATTTACATTATTCGGACTGTTGTCCTCATCTTTGTCGCCATATTTATTACAACGTTTCAGCCGTTATACGCTCTGACATTCAGGTGGTTGAAATGTCGAACTGAACCCTTTATTTCGCTCACTAGGGTAGACTGTTCTAGTTCCATGTGCCATGTTTAATGAATGTCGGTTATTTTCACTCTGAAAGTTCTGCACTGCCTTAACCAGGTATAGTACTCACACTCTTTGGTTCCTGTCACTGAATCTAACTAACGCCTTTATCCACTGTGCCATGTGTCCTTGAGGGTAACTGTGTTTGAATTTCTGGGTATTATAAAACTGTCTTCAGCATCGTTTTTTACCAGTGCTCATATTGCAATTTTTGCTGTTATCATTGCATGTCTTACTTGGGAGAGATATTTGTGAAGTGTTGTCAAGCTTTTGAAGGTTGTCCTGATGTTATATGAACTGCAGATCCTTTGTATTTTCTCTGATAACCTCTTCACATAAGGCAGGGAGACTGTTTTCCGAGTGTTGTTGTCCTCCTCTTGTACCCGCCTATCCCAGTTTTTTTGGGCTGCTGCTATGTACCCAGGGTAGTTGTTACGTTGTAGGGTACTACTTATACTGACCAATTCTTTATCTAATGTCTCTGGGTCACCACTTATGACTTTTGTTCGGTGTTGTAAGCAGTGGATGATCCCTTTCTTTATGCTGTATGGATGATGGGAGTTGAAATTGAGGTACTGTCCGGTGAATGTCAGTTTACGGTATATGGATGTCTTAAACCCATGCTCTGTTCGAGATATTAGACCATCCAGGAATGGGAGTGTGTTGTTACTCTCTCTTTCTCCATTGTGAACTGTATCGAAGGTTTTATTGAGTTCATATGGTCCAGTAGAACCTGAACATCTCCCTGGTGTGGCCAGAGTATGAAGGTGTCATCTACGTACCTTAACCATATAGTTGGCTTTAGATATATAGATTCTAATGCCATTTCCTCAAAGTATTCCATGTATATATTCGCCATTGCTGGTGATAATGGCGAGCCCATTGCTAAGCCCTTATCCTGTCGATATATTTGTGATCCCATTCTGAAGTGTGTTGTTTGTGTACAGAAAGTCAACATCTCCATCAGATTATTTATTGGAATACTGGTCCGTTCTTCTAGGGAAGAGTCAGAGGTCAATCTATCTCTGACTACTGAGAGGGCATCCTCCATGGGTACCTTGGTGAACAAACTCACCACGTCCAAGCTCACCATCTGGTTGGATAGGATGGGGGTATCTTTGATTATTTCCACAAAGTGGGTGGAGTTTCAGACATATGAAGGAGACTTTCCGATCAATGGGTCAATTATATCTACAAGCAAGCGACTTGGAGGGTGGCTCGCCGAGCCTTGGCAACTAACAATTGGCCTGAGCGGAATACCGTCTTTGTGAATCTTAGGGAGACCGTATATGTGAGGTAGCTTGGTGTAATGCTGCGATAACTGCCTATATGTCTTAGGTGCGAAGTGATTCTTGTTCTTGATTAGCATCTGTGACAGTTTGTGTTCCGTTTTCTTTGTAGGATCCTTTTTTATTTTGCTGTAGCTACCATTTCTAATGAGGTCTTCCAGCTTTCTTGTATACTCTGATTTGTCCATCACTACAGTTGCATTGCCTTTGTCAGCCAGTAGTATGATGATGTTTTTGTTCCTCTTTAGGGATCTGATCTCCAGCCTCTCTAGTTTTGTTATATTAGGCCTGGGCGGCTTGGCTCTCTCCAAGGTCTGTCTTACTTTCCATCTCAGTTCATCCACCTGAGCCTGAGGGATGTTCAAGGCCACCTCCTTGACTCTGGCAATGATGTCCAAGTATGGCACTTGCCTGATGGTTGTGGCGAAGTTGAGACCCTTATTCAATACTGACTCCTCAAAGGCACTCAGTTGATATTGGCTGATGTTGACTACTGTTTTCACTGGTGGGTGATGGACCTTCTGATCTTTCAAACTATTTAATTTTTGTAGTTGGCGAGCCTTGACTACATCGAATTCATGTCTGAAGGATTTATCCAGATCATTTTGAATCCTTCTCTGGTCTTCTTCATTAGTAATTCTGTTGAAGAAATCCTCCAGCCTCTGGGAGATATGAGCTTGTAGTCTGTTTTATCCAACGATTATAGTGGATTCTCTCTTGGACAAGGGTGTGTCCCGCTTTTTCTATGACCAGACGGGCTCTCTTTGAATTGACGAGAAGTCTTGGTGTCAAACCTGAAGGGATGAGTTGTAGATAAAGGGTTCAGTTTGACATTCCAACCACCTGAAGAAGTCTGGAGCGTACAATGGCCAAAATGTTGTAATAAATATGGCGACAAAGATGAGGACAATAGTCCGAATAATGTAAATAATGTATTTTGGTTCCTCCACCCTTTTTGATCTCTTATTTTAATATTAACAGTATTAACTCTTAATGGCACATGTTATAATGAAGCCAATAAGTTAACTGTATTATCAAATTTGATTTGGAATGGAGATATTTTGTCATCATCATGATCCTTGTGAATTCCTTGAGATCTATTCTCCAAAGGATCCTCAGCTGTAGTCTGTAGCATTGTGCAGTGATATTGATTTGACTGCTTTACAACATTTGACACTGACCTTGCTGCAGAGACCAGCTGTTACTCTAAATTGGTGTAGAAAAATAGAAAATAAATAAAATAAGCTAAGCTTTGGATTTATGGCTTATCTCATTGAAAGCATGATGTTACTATGACTAGATGACTTATTTATCTGCCATTAGCTCCACAAGAAATTCTTAATGTGTGTGATATATAATAATTTTTAATTAATTTATTTATATAGTTTATGCAAAACTAGGTAATCCGTATGGGTAGACCCAAGGAGGATGATATCCGGAGAGGTCAATGTAAATTCAGAGCAAATGTGTTTGAATAAAAAAACAGACCACTTTAAGGTTCCATGTAATAAATTATTTCACCACAGCCCTTTTTAAAGGGCTCTGGATCATCAGACTTTACTTCCAAATGTTGAAATGAAAAATGAAAAGAAATTTACACATTTTTGACGGGTCGTATTAAGCATATGAAAATTAACGAAGTGAGGGGGGAGAGAATACATGAGTGAGTTAGATGTACCATTTCAATTCTTTATCCCTAACCCCACTTGGTGTGGGCCAGACAAACGCTTAACTTATGTTATCTTTAGGTATGGATGGGTAAGTGGTGAAAAGGAAAGCCGACATAAAAGGAAGAAGATACAATAAAACAATCCTGATGAGAGAAGGTTTCACTTAATTTCTTGGACGCTGTTATTTCGCATTACTTTAAAGGGTATATTTGAGGGTTAAAGTTTGATATAAATCTAAATGTCTACAAACTCTACGAAGAATTTAATTTGATGTTTGTTGGAGTTTTGGGTATTTTCTATGAAATAGTCGATTGGAAAAAATTCATAGAAAGTACATTGAAAAAATAATTCATTTTACATCTAGTAATCTTTTTTATTTTCCTAAACTTTTTTCTTGTTGATTATTAAGTTGACATCTATTCGTTTGAGTTTTGTTCATAAATTAAACTTCATTGACTGTTTTAGATACCTACACAATTATCAAAGGTTATTCCAATTTAAATAATTTTATCATCAATAGTGATTATTAAAGGGTAATATATTTCAATTTAAATTAAATCATCAATTTAAAATTTACCTCCGTATTATTTGAACTCACTTCCAATTGGAGAACATTACAGGAGAAATTTGGATAAAACATTACTAACAGAGAATTAGGTCCTTCTTTTATAATATTCTATATATCCATACATATACACACCTCTACACATATCCGAACACCTATCTATATCCACATACATATCCCTATATACCTATAAATCCATACACACACATACCCGCACATCCACACAAAACTATATGTATATACCCATACATACACATATACACCTGTAGAAAGGCACATACACATATATATACATACATATCCACACATACACATATATACCTACATATATAAAATTATATATCTCTCTCTCTATATATATATATATATATATATATATATATATATATATATATATATACGCATTCAAAAGAATATATCAATATCAATACGTCATTACATTATGAATACACAAAATCCTATATATATATATATATATATATATATATATATATATTACTCGCCATCCCATATCTGTGGCAAGACATATAAGTACATATTAAAAGACGTATCAGTGTTCAAGTACAATACCATAGTTATACACATACAGTCATGTGTTCACGTTCATGTGTGTATAGCAACATTTCCAAAAGCAAAAAGAACAAAGGTCATTCAATATTATTTTTCCTATATGGTTATTTCTCAATGTATTTTCTTAGGTTTAGGTTGTTCTTATGTCGGCATTTAAAGATTAGTTCATTTTTTGTGTGTGTGTGTGGATAAGTTGAATATGGAAAATTAAAACATGCTTTGGGAAATAATTTACTTTGAAATTTCTTAAAAAAATTTTTTTTTTTTTTTTTTTTTTTGCTAATATTTGTTTTTTTTCTTCCTTTTTTGGCAGGAGTGACAGTTCCTTCAATTTCTTTGTATTTTTTTTTGTTTTCTTCTTCCAATTCTGCACATGTGTGATTATGTGTTTGGGAGTGACAAACTTCACAGTGTAAGTATGTTTCCAACCTTTTTCTTTAATCAGAACCCCCAAAAGACTTTTCATGTAAGATTACCAAATTGGTTATTAGTAGTTAAGTATACTATCCAAGCCAATCAATGTATTAATGACTCGACTAATTTGACTTATAATGAAATGAACTAATTATTTATTCAGAATCCTTACAGATTGCTTGAAATAATTCTGTAATGGCTGACTTTATTATGCTTCTTTATATCAAAACTTTTGATTCTTGTTGTTTGTCATGGAGAATTTTTTTTTTTCCTTTTAAAATCTTAAAGTTGAATATTTGTTGCTGAATCAAATGTTAAACTATTTCAGTTATATAACTTTTAATCCTGTATCCTTTTGTACTAAGGATCTCTGGATAGTGCAATGATTACAGCCTCCATCCTGAAAGATTGTAGCAGCACTCTGACTATCCTTGTGTCAGACTTAAGTTAAACTTAATATTATACTGAATTGAATTTATAGAAGAAAAATTATTCCAAGTAAACAATTTGCATGACTTAAATTTGCTTGGCAAACCGTCTTAAAATTATATCTTCTCTGTTAATTTCCGTATTTTATTGATAGAATTTGTTTTTGAAAATTTAAATAAAATGTAGAGATTTAAAAATTTTTTTTTTTTAAATTTAAGATATGTGGAGAAGACAATGTGAAGAATTTGTTTGTTTTTCTGTGAATATTATCTAATAATTGATGTGTAGTGAATTAAACAAGTAATTTTAAATGCATACAGGACCCAAAAGAATCTTTTTATATATATATATATATATTGCAAAGATTTTTTTTGTTGAAAATATTTTAATTATACTTATATTTGCTAAAAATAGAATGAATTAATGTATAGTTGGAAAAAATCTTTCAATGTTTGATTGAATTACTGTATATCTTTGTGTATAGGCAATCTTTAGATAGACGAGGTAAAAAAAAATCAAAATTTTCATGGATTTATCCTATACATATAGTGTAAGACAACTGCTTATTGATTATATAAAGATGATATTATTAGAAATGTTGTTACTTACTGTATCCTTATAAATTCAAAATAACAAAACCGATTCTAGATCATGTTTTTCCAACATGTATTCCCTTAAAAAGGAAAATCTTTTTTTTTTTTTTTTCACATTTCATCATATGATCTCTTGCAAATACTGATTCTTCTTTTCCTATATCTAAACAGTTACAAACAGCCTGGTGTACTGATGGCCATTTACTTTGACAAAAATGAATTTTTAATGAGAAATGAACATTGTTATCTTAAATGTTATTACTGCCATAGTTAACACTACCATGATGATTATTGAAAGTTTGGTGAAAGATAAAAGTTGCTGTAAATGTAATTAGAACTGTTTACATTTTCTTAGCTGAGCTTGCATGGATACAAGTTGATTGATATGAAATCATTCTTTGAACAGGCAATTTATTATAAAGTTATTCCAGTAATATATAAGGTAGAAAAGGTTTTATTACTTATCAGTTTATTTGATAATGTGAATCTTTTCATGTACATTATTGGTTATCTCACTGAAGCTGAGGTTAGCCTACCAACAAACATCACTCTGAATTTAAAGTTTCTTTTTTTAGAATTGTAGTACAAGGTGACCCCCCATTTTTTTTTTTTTTTTTTTTTTGTGGGGGTGGGGATTTAAAGGTCATCTTATACACAGAAATATATGGTACTTGCACCAATAAATTTGGTAAGTGCCCCTTTTATTGACAAAAGATGTATTCAGAGTACAAGATTGTCTTAGAAATAGCAACATGTTTTATGAAAATAGTTGTTTGCATCAAGCAAAGAAAGAATGAAACCTTTTTAAGATTGAAATTCAAAGATGTTTTTTCTTTTCATTAAAAAAAACAAAACAATTTCTCCACACTCAAACTTTTTTTTTTTTTTTCTTCTATTCAAAAGTGTCCTGTGTGTTTGGAAGTATGTGAAGGCATCATATCCGTGCTTGCATGACTTTATCTTTGCTAACATTTCTTTCTTGTCTTCATCAAAAAGAATCGTTTATTATTCAATTTCCTCTTGGATATCACCTTATGAATTGGATGTTTTTGAACATCTCTTATTTTAAGTTACTCACATTCTTAACTTCTTTACAATTTATATAATTCATTTTAGAATTTTCATTTTCGTTATTATATAAAGACTGGTGAACACTTGTCATACTGACTACACTGGGCATGGAATATTTTTTTTTTCAAGACTACTTTGTCTTGAAAATATTAGCCACTCTATTTTTATTTTGAAAAAGACATTTTTCTCCCCTCTTTTGGTTGAATGACACATTGCCATGACTGTCATTTTTATTATTATGACAATAACTGAGATGTTGTCATACCATTGAAGATTTGAAGATATCTACTTGAATTTTTGTCTACCAAAAAGTCACAGACAATTTGGTAGATTGTTTTCTTTTTCTCTCTCTTTAGTGAAACAGACATGTTAGAATATTCCAATTCTTTTACTATTCTATTCTACATCCAAATTCTCTACAGTCAGGTTAGAGAAAAAGTATTTTTTTTTTTTTTTTTTTTTTTCTTATTTGTGGTGATGAAATTTCTTAAATCTCTTCATCATCCAATATTTGATAATATTTGTTGTTATGGAATGTGTCTTAAATATTAACTCGGTCTTTATAACATTATAGAAAATGAACATTATAACTAATTCTCTTCTATTTCATTTTTTTTTTTTTTTTTTTTTTTTAAACCTTCATGAATTGAAATTACAATTACTAAAATTTGGATAGTCAACATTTAGAGGCTGCAACTTTTGCTTTTGGTTAAGTGCACATAAAAACAAATGTTCCACTTATTTATTTATTTTTATTTTATTTTATATTTTTTTGCATTTTGCCCCTTGAAGAATTTTTGTTTGTTGCTTGCCTATTTTTAATGTTAATTGATTTGAATCTGGAATGTTTGTAATCAATAAACTCATTGACTTGATTATTTTTCTTCTAGAAAGATAAATTGTAGTTGATGGAATTCATCTTCCTTTGTTCAGTCCACTTATAATGAGCATGTTACTTCTAAAATCTGAATGAGAAAACTTCCAATTATTGTAAAATAGTTTTACATTCTTAAATATATTTGATTCCCTCTTTCTTGATATATTCAATATTTTTAATTTAGTGTTTTTTAAAAATTACTTGTAACATCAAAAGAATACATTTGGCCAATATTTATCTTTTAAAAGACAGTTATATTGTGCAAAAATAATTTTAATATAAGAAAAGTAAACAATTCATTTGCAGCTGTAATAATTGTGGGTAATTTTTTTTTGTCTATTGCCATCTTTTTCTTAGTGAAATGGATATGTGAATTTATTTAAAAATCTATTTGAAATAACAACTTTAATTTTGTCTTTATTTAAAGAGCTGTTTTTTTAAAATTTTCTACATATTAGAGGTAGACTTTTTCATCATTGTGATATTTAGCCATTTTACAGTGTTTTATTTGTCAGATATAAAATAATTTCACTTTTTTCCTCTCCAGATAAAGATTAATGTAGAAATTCTTTTCATTTCTTAAGAGAAAGATCTTTAATGCTTATTAATGAAATAGATAAATATCTTTGTGCAATTGGTAACTGCTATCATCTCTTATGCAAATTGAATTTCTATAACAATTTCACTGCCCAGAATTTTGTCACTTAATATCTTGCTGCTATATTCTTGATTAAAATGCTTTTGTTTCAGAATAAATGTTCTTTTTGGGCATGTATGTTTGTTCTTGTCAACTCCATTGTGATATTTTTCTTCTAACCCTAATGATTAGTAATATGCAAACCTCCAATAGTTATTTTAGTTTTAACTTTAACCTGCTTCTAGTTGTTAATTTAGTTGTTAGTTAATGGCTTCAGACTGTTATTAATTGATAGCTAAAATTGATTTGCAGGAGCATGACCATATATCATTTCTTCTGGACACTGGTTTTGACCTTATCAATGTTTAACTTCCCAAATTTTTTATTTTTATTTTTTTTATTTTAAAAAATCATTTCTTTCTAATTCACTAACACAAATTAACTACTTTTAGCATACCACCCTTACACACATACACACACTTCTATTAAATACATAATACTTGCTTCTAAGATATTCGTATTTAATTAAAGGAAGTTTTTATTGGTCTGTTGAAAAGTAAAATTTATCTTCTATTTTTATCATTTAAGTTGAAATTTGTATAATCAGAAAACTGATTCTTTAAATTATATTGAATAATCCCAAAGAGATATTATAACCATAATCATTTAATCTCTTAAATTGGCATATATGAAGCAATTTTTATTGATGACAGATTTATTATTATTGTTATAATTTATTATTCCAGGTAATGTTTGATCACTTTGTTTTGAACTTTGTCTGAAGGACATCTTCTAATTATCATCAAGTTCTTTATCTGCTGAGCTTTCAGAGAAAGCAACCAGTTGAATGCATAAATTTTGAATTTTTTTTTAAGTATCTCTTTATTGGTAGTATCAGTGTTTTAATAGTAAATAAAAAAAATAAATAAAAGCACAAAGCTTTATTGAAGGTCATCTTTTTGGTGTGATTCCAATACTGAATATCTGTCTTAATTATTACTAATATAAAAACCTAATCAGATCAATGAGATAACAAATATTAATAAAGGAAGAAATGAATGAATTGGAAGTTGTCAGTCAAGTGTTTTTTGAAATTGTAAATATCATTTATCTTAGTATATTGAAATATTTTAAGACAGATACTCCTAGGGACTTTTTACAAAATTCTAAACTGTGAGTTAGACTGAATTTATTCAATTTTCATTAAATTCTGCAGGAAAAAAAGAATTAGAATTTTCTCAGAAAAAAAAAATATTTGATTCAGTTTACAGATAGGGAAATGTTGGAAACTATCAAAATCTGAAAATATTTGAACATCTGATACAGCTGTATTTAAAAAATTGTTGGAAATGAATAATTGAACTTTAAAAAAACCCCAAAAAAACACAGTCTATTGATTGCAGTGATGATTGAATTTTCTTTAAAAAAAAAGAAAATGTAGGAAGTAAATTTTCCTTTACTGTAAATGCACACAGACACTTTATTTTTTTTTTTTATTTTTTTATTTTTTTTTTTTTTTATAAATGTCCCAAAATTTCATTTTATTCCTTCAGTTCATGATTATATCTGAAATGTTAAAGCTAACAATTGGCATTTTAATGATCAATAAATAAATTAATCAGTAATCATTGTCTACTATCTAAATATCTATCTAATATATATATATATATATATATATTTTAGTACAATAAAACTTATTACAAACAACAAAGTATATCTTGTTTGAAAATATTAAAGAGTGCTCCATGCACAGTTAAAAAAAAAAAAATCAAGTGTAGAGATATATATATATATATATATATATATATATATATATTTGTGCAGCGACCGTTCTTTTAAACATCTTTCACTAAATATAGCAAACAAGGGAGATTTAATTAATGTTTTTAGTTTTTCCAACATCCTTATGTTTTTCCTTTTTGTAGGAGTAAGGGAGTACAGAAATTTTCCATAATTTACATTGTTCCAAGTGCTTTCGGACACTTCCTTAGCCATTTTCACGGGGTGGGGGTGTTCTGGTGGCGGGGGTTGTTAGTTTTTTCCTCATGTTTTGGCTGTTTAATTTTGTTTTGAATAGGAGTGTTTATTCTGAGCTGCATGAGCATTTTTTTTTTTTTTTTTTTTTTTTTTTAAAATAGATGCTCACATGAATTCTAGCCACATTCAACATGTGAAGGCTTGGAATAAACACTCCTATTCAAAATGACAAAAAAATAAAATCTTAAACAGTCAAAACACAAGGAAAAACTAACACCACCAAAAACAACTACCACTTGAAAATAGTTAGAGAAGTGGGCAAAAGTACTTGAGACAATGAAAATTATGTTTATGCTACTTCGTTTCTAATTGATATAGTGTCAATTTATTATTGTACTGTTAGTCTCTCAATTACAATATGTAAATAGTACTATTACCACTAACTGCCACTACTATTATTAGTAGTATAATCCTGGTCAGCATATAAAATAGTTTTTCTAAAAGAAAGTATTCCTATTTAAAAAAGTCGGGGGTGTATAGAGGGTGGTCTTTGATTAGACTCTTATCTTGGCTGAGTGCTTTTATAGCTGGATATTTCTCTCCCCCTTCCCTATTTTATTTTCAGGAAGAAGAGCATTGATTGTTTTGTTTGTATTTCCAGTGGCATCATAGGAGGCATTGGAACTGTCTCAAAAAATATGGCAGTTGGACTCATCATGATATTTATTGGAATATTTTTTGCTCTAGTTTCTGTCATTACTTTTGCACTTCTTGTCAAGGTAAACGTGATGTGAAATCTTTTTTTTACCATTACTACCATTATTACTACTACTACTACTGTTATTAATCATGGTGGCTGCTGCTGCTGCTTATGCCTGTGCAGATATTCATGCCAACACTATTATTGTTGTGCTTTTATATTGTCATGCTCTCATCGACTGCCTGCCATTCTGTAACAAACCTACTAAAGCAAGTTTAATGCAGTGTTTTACCTGTGGTGGTTATACAAGTCTCATTTTATTTTAGGAGGTGGGGAGGATTTTGAATGTTACTTTGTTTTAATTATATATCATTTGGCAATAATTAAAGACCAATTCACTTGAAGATTGCCATAAAAAACAAAAAAAAACATAAGTTGGAAAATCTCAGTAATTGGTCATATAAAATGTCAACCTGCAAATAGGCTGACATTTAGTTTAAGAAAAATAAAATCTGTTTTACATGAAATGAAGTTTATTCAATATTAGCTTTTATCAAAATGTTCAACATTAATTTCTTTTTCTTTTTTTTTTTTCCTTCTTGGAAATTAAAGCATGAGAGTCAATAGAAAGTAGTATCTTATTTTGTCACACCCAATGTTAAAAGCAAATATTCATTTTATGGGGATAGAAGGATGGTTGGTTGAACCTTCCTTCTAATAATAACCTTTTATTTATTTTTGCTCTTATAAGTTATTGTTTCTCCACCGCCTACACATGGTGGTGTAACCATGCTTAGTGTTCCGGTCCTCATTGTTTTAGGACAATGCTTTAACCATGGGCTAACCCTGCACTGGTCAATACTGACACTAGTCCAAGCTGGTTGTTGGTTGCTGACCACTTCGATCCACACTGTCTCTGCTCATCTTGTGTTCTTGATCTCATAGCAGGAAATTGAATGTTATTGTAGTCTTACAGTGCTGGTCAAGCTGTGGTGGGTATTAAGGAAAAAAATATCTTTACGATGAAAAATAAAATGAGAGATTTGTGGGGTTAAACCTCAATTGGTTTACATAGCTCTTGGTACAACAAAAATTAACAATTCTTGCATCAATCTCTCTAGTGACACTTGGCTTTGTCTAAACTTGTGGAAGGCTGGTTTCAAAGTCTTGGAATCAGAAATTATAGTTGGCAGCTGGCATAGATTTCAAAGGCACTCAATGCGGGATCTCGGCCCAAAGTCTTTGAGCTCCCCAAAGTCATCTGTCCACATACTTTTTGCCCCAAAACCTTCATGGGGGCCAAATGGCCTTGGGAACTCTGCAATCTCCAACTTTCATCAATTCAAATAAAGGTTTTCTTTGTTTCCCAATTCTGCCCTCCGAATCAATTTTCCAAACCTGGAGATTTATCTACCCTCTCTGGAAGCAGTTACTGGGACTGCCTCTCTCCTAACTCCAACCTGCTTCACCTCACAACTCACACCATTACCTTGCACATGTGGGAGCCAAACTTCGCCCCACCCCCCTCTTTCGCACTCGGTATTCCACCTCAGCTCACCACCTAAGGCATGCATAACTGTCTTTGTGACAAATCCAATTCCTTAAATCCATCAATTTTAATTCTCCAAATCTTTTCTATTTTCCTAGAACTATCCCTGTCCAGTGAAAACATGAACCAGACCACCGATGACAGAATTTGTTTTCATAACTCCAGCCTTAATTGTAGAGTGCATCCAACACATTAAGAGAAATTCGTTTTCATTTAACCTTCCAAGCAAGAGATGAAAATTATTTTCCAACCTTTTCATCAACAAAAATATGCTTGTTTACCCAAATTCCCAACAAAGAGACTTCGTGTTTTCCATCCTTGGGCATGTCTCAGCAAAAACTCAAACTCGATCACACCTTCTTAGCATTGATATGATTGATTTTCATAATTTCAACTCTAAGAAAAAGGGTTCATTCTTTGTTTTTGCCTCTGTCAATGAAAAATATGTCTCCCTAAGTTCTCAAGAAAGAGACAAAGCCATTTCTCTGAATCTGTCTTCATCCGCATGCCAGACTTTCTTGACAGACGAGAAAAATAAACTCTTAGGAGAGAAGAGATCCAGATGTCCCATTCTCACCAAGGAAAACCTCTCTCTCACATATTTTGGGATAACCGTTCTCTTTTTAGTTTCTGTAGAAATAAACAGAAGGTATTACTTTCAAAGAGTCTCTCACATTTGAAATAATTTATTAAAAAAATAAAAGAAGTCAACTTTGTTCATTAAATGAAACAATTTATTTATTTAGGTATCATATTGCCATTTTATTTTAATTTTTTTTTATTAACGTGTATAAAACTTCATTCACTTTATAACTTGATAAAGTGAATAGTTTTGTATTTTTTTTTCTCCTTAATTTCCTTACCTCTTTCTTTTTTGAGGTTTTGGTCTATAACCACAGTAAAATATTGCATCTAATCTTGTACCCATATTTGTTTCATTCTAAATCCACAAGTTCTGCATAACAATATTACTTGTACCACTAAAATATGTAGTGGCATGCTGATTTTATTCCCTTTTTATTTAATTTTTAAAAAATCTTCTCTCTTTCCCAGCATATGTTTAATATTATTGTCTTCCAGTTTTGAAAGGATGTTATACATGTCAACCCTTTTTTTTTTTTTTTTTTTTTTTTTTTTCTGCCTGGTGAGAGCAGAAGATTCTTTCTACTCTCCATATCCATCCAAAAACTTTTATTCAACCTATGGCTTTCTTTTTCTAGTGGTTGGATCAATGCCCTTATCACTTTGGGGACTAATGTTGGCGCGGGGGCATTTATGATCTTTGTTGCCCTCTTTCTCACCGCCTATGCAGTAGTGAACATCATAGTCCTCATTAAGGTATGACGATGTTGGGCAATTATCTCCCTTGTACTGCTGCTGCTGCTGCTACTGCTGCATTTTAATCATAAAATCACTTATTTCTCCTCCTCCTCCTCCTTCCTTTTGATCCAGACTTATAATAACTATATCTTAAAGAAAATCTCCTGTACAATTTTATTCATTGGATGAAAAATTTATTTTAGCATTGTTCAAAGGAAACATTATTCAGTTTTCATAAACACATGCACTAAAATTTAATGAGTCTAAGAGATTGGCAAGTCTAAGGTTAATGATTTATTTTTTTATTTAGAAATTGAATTGTAACCAAAATACTGGTTCTTGGGTATTAAATGTTATACAGTAAGAATGAAATTTATGATATAGTTGATGTTACTTTTGAATGAAAAGAAGGCAACAAATGTAATATTGTCAAGTTATTAATAGGCAAGATTGAATTTTGTAAAGGGAAATAAAGTTTGCAATGTAAATTTGAAATTGTGTGGATTGTGAATTCCGTATACTTAGAAAATACATTATTTATTTTAGTGTATTTATAAAGTCTTCCTCAAGGTTTTGGTATAATAGTAGATCTGATGCTTAAAAAAAAAAAATTAAAAAGGTTTTGTTTTCAATTCCAATGGTTGATTACTATAAATCTTGGCATGATTATCCCTCCTCCACCTCCATTGAATTAAAACCAATTATTTGTTTCAGTATATTTGAAAATCTATATTGGTAATTTATCAGTCCTGTTACTCATGAGGTTCATCTTAGCAAACAGTTTTTATTTTTGCTATTGTTGCCCTGCTTTTTACAGCCTGCTAAGCATTCTCAACTCAATTTTACTTAACCTGCTTTCATTAACTTTCTCAGCCCACTACTTTAATAATTGGGCTTTACTTGAAATAGTTTTTTGCCATTATCTAAATTTGATTCTCTGTGTGTTCACTTTTTTAAAAGCTGTGGAGAAGAATTTATTTCTTTCGATTATTTGTTGAGACCAACAAAAGAACTTGTCACCTGTAGAATCTATTAATTTTGGAGAAAGAAGTTGCCTACTGAGCAACATGTTTTCTGATGCCAGGCTAAATAACTTGCTGCGTATTGTGTCTGTGTTTTGCTTGATTTAGAAAATAGTACATTTAATTTTCTATGAAATGGTTATTTGTTAAAATCCGTATCAATAATGAAATGAGATTTGCCAAAAATAATCAATTAGTTAGGAAAAAAATGATTGCAATTGTTGCTTGGACATTTTCCTTCAATGCTTGCATGTTTTTCATCCCAGGAGATGCACTAACCGATCTTGTCTTAATTCTTAAATTACTTTGGAATAAAATTAAAAATCAAACAAAACCTGCTCTATAAAATTTAAAAAAAATCAGTGTTCACATTGCTTGATTTTTAGTTAAATATTGGGTGGGGGTGAAGTTTGTCTCAAAACTGTTCTGTTTATTTAATATTTTAATTTGATTTTTTTTTTTTAATTTTTTTATCTAATTTAGCTATCTCACTTTTGTCTTTATCAATTTGGTTTCATCATTCATGAGGCAACTAACTACAGAATACAATTCTATTTTAAGGGCTCATCTATTTTAAACATTTAGTCTATCAAAGCTAATTTCAAGTCTAGTTTGCTTTAAAAATGACCAAAAATTGAATTTCTCAAGTCTATTTTACACTGATAAAATCTTAAGATGATTGTTAATTTGACAACTTGTACCTTAACATTATTTGTTACCCTTTTATCTTGATGCCCAAGTCTTTTAATTTGCTCTCCCACCTTCACTACCAGTTTTCAATCTTTGGATAAATGATGATGTTACAAGATGGGGAAGAGCTAACTCTTCCACCTTTTTTTTTTTTTTTTTTTTTTTTTTTTTTTTTTAATTTATTACTTATTATTTAGAAGGGTGACAAAAGTATATAATTAGTAGTCTAGTTTGCCTTGGATTTATGATTGTAAGAGAAAAATACTGCTAGTCATGTAATCTAGTCAAATTCCTTGCATACATTTTGACAAGATGAAAGAAAAAATTTCTGCTCAGTAGCTGGTAAGATTTTAATCAAAAATTTATTCCCTATCTTTTTCCTAATTTTAAATAATCTTAATTTTAATCTTCTAAAATATTTATTTTTGCTAAAATTGGAAACCTTTTAGAAAAGACAAATAAAAACATGCATTTTTACCTGATCATGTTTTAATCTAGTCTGTTTTTTTTTTAAGATGCTCTCTAAAAAATCTTATTTAGAAAGAATAAAATAAAAAGAAAGCAAAAATGCCATAATATTTCTATTTCTTATAAGTAAATGAATCTACTTTTCATGTCTGTTACATTTTTAATTAAAATAAAACTTTCAAATGGAATTTTAATTTTTGTTTTCTTAAGATAAATATTATAATTGTTGCCTATTGGTGCATTTGGGCAAATATTTAAGGTATTTGTTGCACTCTGGTCTTAAAGTTTCTTCTCTTTTGCAATATTGAGCTTTGTAAAAAAAAAAAAAAAGTCTGTTGCTTTAATTTGTGAAGATAAATGAGAAGGAATTAAAATGTGATATGGCAGAAATGGAGAAAATGTTAACAATACTTGTTCATTATTTTGCATTTTATTTTCATTTGGAACAGAACAACTTGAGGCAGAATAAATAGATAATCTTATTTAATGTTTATAGAGCATTTTTTGTTTTTCTTCAGCTATTTTTGAAGTGGAGTCATTTTCCATGCCTTCTACTACTAAGTACAATGGTTGTTCTTCTCTTTTCTTTTCCTCTTTCTAGAATTCATTTAGACCATTAAAATCTATGAATGTTTTTTTTTTTTTTTGTTTTTTTTTTAGCTCTTAAGATTTTATGAAAATTTATATTCAATGTTTGCTGAAGAAAAATTTATTTGCTTGTTGATGTCTGATTTTTGCCATTAAATTTTGTGAGGACATTATTTTTGTAAAAGACAAGTTGATGAGATATATATATATATATATATATATATATACACACACACAGTTTACCTAATGAATGTGCATTTCAGCACACCTGAAACTGGTAGTTGGGGCCAGCAAAAAGAAACACCAGTTATAAAGTTCTTTATATGATACAATAATAATGAGAAGACCAGTCCTTGTCACTTAAGTTAAGCAGTGTTGAATTTGATCAATACTAAGCTGAGTGACTACTTAAGAATATCAGGTACTATAAAAGACTTTTGGCTTTGGACCAGGCTTAAAATAGTTGAACAAAATACATTAAATGTAAAGTCATTTTTGCAAACTTTTTTTTTTTTTTTTTTTTTTATTTTTTTATATTATTAAGTAAACTGATCCGCTTGACAAGTTAGTGAGTGTAAAATGCCTCTAATATCATCTGATTGTTTCAAATGATAGTCTTATAGATGTTTATGTATTAGAATTGATTGGCATATTTTCTCAGCTGTACTAAAAAAAAAATCTTGGTTAATATTTAGCAAGATATAAAGATCTGAAGATACTCTCTTAAATAGTTAAGAGTTAGTTTAACTTTCAATTATGTTTAAGTGAAGATTTTTATCAAATACCCACCCACATACTCCCACAGTAGGTGTTTACTTAAGAAGCAGGTGTTGATCTCAGGTGTGATCACCTGACAAAATTATGAACAGTATGATTTGTCTATTATGGCTTTCTAATCACCATTTTGCTTAGAAGAGGATCACATTTCTGAAGTAATTCTTCTCTTATTAATTACGTTTTTAGACCCCCCCCCTCTCCTACTGACAGTTGTTAGGATTATATGTTGCATGCTTGTTGAAAACTGGTGTTTGTATTGGGGGGGGGACAAGGCTATTCTAGCTTGGCTTCAGATGGCTGCTGCTGCTTTGTAAATGTCATGCATGTTTTCTTTTTCTTTTTCTTTCTTTCTAGTTTGGTTTGTGGTGTTCTTTTTTCTTCCTTGGAATTCTGTTATTTTGTAATTTGGAAAATGGAAGTCTAAGCCAAAATGTCCTTATTGATTAAGTAATTCTCTACTCTTTTCTTTTTTTTTTTTTTTTTTTTTTTTTTTTTGGTGGGGTTTCCCTCCTCGATGTAATCAATTGACTTTTTCACTCAAACAACCAGAGATACTTTCATTGATGTGTCACTTAAGAAGTTAAAAATGAAATTCAGATTAGGTATTTGGAAATTGGAACTGATTTTTCTTTGAAATCAACTAAAGATTCTTTAAGAGAATTAGGGAAATTGAATGGTTTGAAAGTGGTTAAATTCTTTTTCAAGGGCATACTTTATCAAATTATTGTAGTGGCTTTTGAAGCTTCCATTTTCCTTTTCTTTTTCTTTTTCTTTTTTTTTTAAGAAATGCTTTAAAATGTTTTTCATGACATTCTTAAAATGTTGGTCAAATTTTAATTTCCATTCAAATACTCTAATGATTAAATAAAAATATTATTAAATGTACCAAATGAGTAGTATGTAATTATTTGGCAAGAAGTATAAGAAGTTGGCATATCATTTATTGAGAACATTGCAAAAATATCTTTCCCCTTTTAAAATAGAAAAAAATTAAAAATCCTACATATTTTTTTCTTTAATGTCTCATATTTTTCCCCATTTTAATCTGGCAATTTTTGTGGATTTCAATTCATATGGAAAAATAACAAGAAATGAATGGATACAAAAAAAAAAAATCTTTTGTCAAAAAGATGTAAAACCTTCAGATATTTCAGGCATTGAATGTACCTATTTTGGTAGCCCTGCTTGTTGCCAAATAATCTCTTTTTAAATTGCATTTGTTGAGCAACATTTTTGAAGTACATTAACTTGTCTAAAATCTTTTTAATTACATCATTTTTTATCTTTTTATATTTTTCAATGATTAACTTACAGAAATTGGATGAAAAAAATGTTTCTTTCAATCCAATTCTCATTTTGTAGGCAGAGAAAAGCTATTGACTGTCATAATTTAGTGTCTTTTCATCCCTAACCCTATTTAAATCTGTCCTGGGTAAGATGATAAACTACATCCAGCACCAAACCTCTGATCAGGAGGTATTGAGGAGCATCGAACCACCTCTTAATTGCTGGTGTTTCCAGGTCCACTCTGACCCGGGGTGGTTACACCTGTTAGGGTCCCAGCTATGGGGAAAATAGTTAACACTTAAATTTGTGTAAAAATAGGTTTTAATACCAGAAATACTTTGTAATAAAAAAAAAAAAAATTATTAACGGCAATAATTTATTAAGGAAAAATTATCAGCAATGCTTACAAACAAAATTCTGTGTTTAAATCTTGTCTAAAGATGCCATTTTGTTCAAAATTATTGCATTTAAAAAAAAAAAAAAAAAAAAAAAATATATGGGGGACAACGGATCAATTGTCGTCTAAATTACAGAAAAATGAAAATAAGACTGACATCTCATTTTGACAAATATACTTACCAAAATAACACAAAAATATCTTGAAATACTAAATTTATTCAATAAAATTGCCATTGGTTTCAACCTTGGAATCTCTTGCAACTCTTTTGGACAGTCTCCTTGTTTAAATTGGTTAATGCTGTTATAATCCTTGCCTTCAGTTCATCGTTGGTGTTACAAGGAGTTTTATTGGCCTCTTGCTCAACTGCGCCCCACATAATAATCAAGGGGGTTGCAGTCTGGGAAGTTAGGTGGCCATATGTAATGGGTGATATGGTCACAGAAATTGTCTGACAGCTATAACTGGGTTCTCCTGCTTGTGTGGCATGGTGTAGAGTCCCGTTGCCAGACATGGGGTCTTCCGGCAGCCTCCTCGACCCAGGGCAGCACTACCTCCTCAAAGCACTCTATGTAAACCTCAGTGTTTAGTCAAGGTCCTTTTGGGAGTTATTTTCTTTAGACTAATCCAACTCTTTCTGAATCCTCTGCTCTGTCCTCAAATTGACACCCAAACAGTCTGAAATGTTTGTATTGGAGCTTCCAGTGTGAAGGCCAAGCAGTACAGCATACTATTTCCAAATTTTTAGCAGAGTGAATTGTGTCATGGTACTCTTTTTCTCACAAATGATGCCCAACTGACTCCACTATGCACTGGACAAAATCAAAAACAAACAAGGCATGTGCATGAAATTAAGAGTATAAAATGGCGACAATTTACCCATCGCATCCTGTAATAATGTGGAATAATATATTTCTTAAATATTAAAATCAGATTTTAATTTTAAATTTTTTTTTTTTTCTTCTCTCTCTTAGGGAGTCCCAAATTTATTTTTTAAAATCTTTAGAGATTTCCTTATTCTTATTTCAAGAATATAATGTTTATTTTTAGAAATTAAAATGTTAATTTTTTTTTTTTTTCAAATTTGTTATTGGTGATTTTGTTGTTTTTTTTTCCCATCTTCTTCTTACACTGCTTTTTGTTTTCATTTCTTTTGAAGGTACACCGAATCTATCGCAGTACTGGTGCCAGTTTCCAGAAAGCTCAGGCTGAGTTTGCTCAGGGTGTGATGCGTAATGAGACTGTGCAAAATGCCGCTGCCAATGCTGCTGCTGGGGCTGCCCGTGGAGCTGCCCAACAGTATGGCTCTAACAATCGTTATTAAACACACCTTCCCATGAGGTGGGGAGAAGAAATTCAACAAAATTTACATGTCATCAATAACCACAGCCACCATTTCCTTCTCCTCTTCCTCCTCCCATTTTTCCCATCCTCAAAAGACATTGTTTGTTTTTCTCTCTCTCTCTCTTTTTTTTTTTTTTTTTTTTTTTTTTCTTTCTCTCTCAAGGTGGATGGCCAGTTTCATTGGACAAAGACATTAGTTCTTTTGACCAGGCTTGTTGTTAGTTATATAACATGTTTATAGCTTGGGTCCATTTAGACTTTGGCCAAGTCCTGTTAAGAATATCCATGTCCAATGCAGTCAGTCATTTGGTTACTGACTCTTGTGGTATAAATGTCAACTACTTGCTTTGGTAGTGAAGTTTCAGATATCGTAACAACTCAACATCCCCACCCCCACCCATTCCCAAAACACCACCGACGAAACAGGAATACAATGTGTGGAGAGGAGGCCAGATCCCCTCTATGAGATGAGATTTGTTAGGGGAGTATTTGTTCTTGTACAAGAACTACTACAACTATTATTATTAATGTTATTAATGCCACCTCGGCCCACAATGACTACCAACAACAACAAAGGGAAGGTGAATAGGTGGGTGAGGGTACTAATGTTATTTTTTGTTTTTTGTTTGTGGTTTTTTTTTTTTTTTTTTTTTTTCCATCAGGAAAAATTTAAATATCAAAAAGGATGGGGCCAAATGATTGTTATATAAAAAAACAAAACAAAAAAAAAAATTTAATTTTGGTCAAAAGACCAAATTGAAGTTTTAAATTCAGAGAATAATAAAATAAAAGCAAAAACAAAATTGTAAAAATTTAAATAACAAATGCCAAACATACAAAGACCTAAATATAAATTCCAACTTATAAGGAAGAAAAAAAAAAGAAAAAGAAAATTTTTGTTTGGATATTTTAATCTCTTCCTCTTTCTTTCCTTCTTTTGAGTGAAGGCTAATAATTATGAAAGTGTTACCCTCACCCAATCAGATGGATATGAACTCTCCCCCTACCCCAACTATTTTCTATATCTACTTGTTGATGTATAATACTGATGATGACGACGACGACGACGATGACTTATTGAAATGATTTTTTTTTTTTTAAATTTGTGTGTGTGTGTGTGATGGGGGCGAAACTTTTCCTCCCCCTCCCAAACTAATAAATCTCTCTCTCTCTCTCCGTCTTTATATGAATAACTGCAGGTAATGTGTAACTGAATAGTTTCTTGTTTATTATTGATTTTTTTTTTTTTCTTTATAAATAAAATTGTTTTTTGTTCTGCTTACACTGGAAATTTCTCTCTCTCTCTTCCTCCCCCTTTTTTCTCTTTAAGAGTATAGAAAAGAAGAAAAAATGGCCAAACTTTTTGTATTGGCATGACCCCTTTTCTTTTTTTGTGTGTGAATTTATTTTCTCTTTGACCAAAATCTGTGATTGTATGGATGTAAGTAAAAAGAGGGGAAAAAAAATAATCAAATTTGATCTTTCACTTTTTTTTTTTCTTCATGTACCACCAAGTGGGATGTTTTGGGAAAGAGGGAATAGTCCTTTAAGTATTATTTCTCCAAGTGATGTACTAAAATCTTTGTAAGGATCTAGGCTGTATTATGTTCATTGACTGTCAGTGTTTTGATAAATACATTCCTTGCAATATAAAAGCAAATTTGCTTTTACAAAACTGACTTTAAAATAAAATCTTTAATGATGTTTTCCCTGGTAGACTAAATATCTGCTTCATTTTTATTTCTTTATTATAAGCAAAAATTGGCTGAAAATTAATTCAGACTTTGTCAAAGAAACCTGCAAAAAAGACCAGACTTCTTTCTTGAACCTTGCTCTTCAAGTTGTACCATTTGATGATACCCTCCTACCGTATTTATTTTTTAAAAAATGTTATGATTTTAAGCTTTTGGGTGTTATGGCTTTTACAAGCATACATTCTGTGTAGACAGTGACAAACGGTTATTGAACTCCATTTCTGCTTTAGGAAAGGAATTGTAAAACTTTGTTTCACTAATCTTAAGATACAGAACTTGGCATTACTGCATTTTGGGGGAAATGTTCTTTTTTGGAATTACTTGAATAAGAATAAGCATTTCTTTTGTCCTCTACTTTGTATCATTTGTAATATCTTTTGCTTAGGGATTTGTTTATAAGTTACCTTTTTTAACTTGACTCATCAAGAAGTTCCAAAATCCATTTCACTAGTCTTAAAAATAAAATAAAAATCTTAATGTCCTTATAATAAACTGATGGATGTCAATTAAAATAGTTACCATTGATTTTTCTATTTACATTTAATTTTAACAAGTAACTGTGTTTGCTGCTTAAGAGTTGTTTCTCACCTTTCCTCTTGTATATAAATTCTAATCTAATCAAACTCTCATGCAGCTATATTACACTCATCCCAATTTAGATGAACTTCCAAATTTGCTACTCCCACCCACACATCACTTGAAAACAAAACAAAAAAATCACTCAATATTTTTGGTGGAAATGATCTACTGTGTATAAAATGGGTTAAGGGTTAAAAGTCTCTTATGTTTGTCTCCAGGCATCATAAACAATTTCAGTTAAATTAACCCCATTTTTATGTAATGGGGTTAATTTAAGTGAGGTTAGTTATTTATCAAATGATAATTTGGTTTCTCTGATGGGCATATATTTTTGACTAGACATGTAAATAGGTTCTTTATAATAATCATGAAGTGGAAAAAAAATGTTCCCTGTCAAATTATTTCTAGGGAACACATTGCTATATATATATATATATATATATATGAGACTGGTGGTGGGGGAAGAGTTCTCTCTCCACATCCAAAAATCCTGACAGATTCCTAACTTTTACTCCCATTTGAGGAAATGATAATTATCATCTAAAAATCCTCCCAGCACATATTTTATTAATTATGAATAATAAATATTTAACTTTTTATTTTTGTGTGCATGTGTTTTTGAGAAACAAGTTGACAAGGGTTTTTTTTTTGTTTTTTTTGTTTGTTTAGTATTGACTATATCTTACTTCAAGAGCCTAAATTGTGAAAAAGGTTCAGATGTTAATTTAACTGCCTCATTCAACATTAAGAATGTGAAGGGAGATCAGGTAACTCTAATTTTATGCCATTTAGTAGTGATTTCAGTTCATTATGTGAAAATATTTCACAAATGCCACATTGTAATAGATTTCTGATCAGTTTGTAGCTTTAAAGCTTTCTGTCTGAAAGAATAAAATTCAATTTCCATTTTAATTTCAAAATTCATCCCTACTTGTTTTTATTTTTTATTTTTGAGGAAGGGAATTTGAAAAGAAACAAATTAAAATAAATTTAATCTCTTTCCATATGTTCACTTACCAAAATATTTCTCTTCTTGTTAAGAGCCCCCTCCCACTACTTCCAATTCCTCTGACTACACCATAGCATCAGACCTATTCTTAGTGTATAGAGCAAAAGAATTATATTGGAAGTTCCTGAATGTAATATTCTGGATTTCTTTGGCACATATTGAATAAAATTGGTTATGCAATTTGCTCTCCATTTTAAACTCAAACTGATTAACTGCATTTGATCTTCAATAATGAACTTGAAGAGTTGGTGATATTTGTCATACATCTTTGGTTTACACATTGACTTACTAAAATTATTTAGTGGCTTAAGTCAACTCTAGATTTGGAAAATTAAGGTCCAGAAATTACCCAGATTGTCCATTGTCATTACAATAGGTACTTTGTTATCTAGAGGGTTGATGACAGATTTGATTTGTGACAAATCTTGATAATAATGAACAACTTTGCAGATTTCTTCACTAGACCTGTTTTCAATCCAATCATTATACTGGTTTTGTCTAGAAGAATGGTTTTACACTCAAATTCTTCAACAAAATACTACACCAGTAATTGGAATTTCCCAACTAAGATCTTTCACTTTCATTTCCTGAGTAAATTTTAAATGACCTTCATTCAGTTTAATGCCACTGTTGCACCCTCCCTCGTCCCAACTTTTTTTTTTGTCATCACTTTCATTCTTGCTTTCTGTTTGTTAGGTTTTAATAAGGCCTACAAATGTGTTAGTCTAAAAAGAAAGGCACCGAGTTTTCAGCTCATGATGTGAAAATATAAAGTTTCAGGATAAGAGGAATTATTTGTGAAATTTTAAGGCAAAGTTTCTTATCTATTTTTATTTTTTTGCTCAATATTAAATCTCCAGTTTCCTCAGTAATGGATATGGGCCATTTAAAAACTATTTCATCCAATAGCTGAGAAATTGAATATAAGATATAATAAACTCCATATTACATTTTGATTAAAGAAAATATGCAATAAACATTTCTTGCATTATACTTGTAAAGTCTACAATAGGAAAAAGAAAAAAAAAAAAAGGCAAACTTTAACTTTTGTGCCCACAAAAAAAAAAAATACATACATTCATTCAAAATGATGTTTCTCCCCAACTTAACTCTTATTTTATACAACTTTGGCAATGTTTATTTAGATTATAAAAATTGTGAACCCAGTACAAATGTGATATTTACTTAAAAATTTATAAAGAAATACATGTGAAAAATCTTTTTGTTCAAAAATTATCAAAATATATAAACCATCTACAATGAAAGATTTATTATTTTTATATATATATATATAAAATCAATGAATTGCTGCGTGCACAAATGCTCTGAAAATGCATTTTTTCTCAATTTATTACTCGTGTTTGACAGATTTAAATTTATGAAGGAAAAAAATCTTCATATTTATTTCTTTACAAATGAGTTGGTTTGCATTTTAGAATGTTGTAATTATGAAATTCTTGTAAATAAACTATTTTATATATATTTTAAATTACACTGTAAATTCTCAAAGAACAAAAATGCATAAAATTCACTTTGAGGGAAACATCCTTTTTGACACACCATTTTATTGTTGGCCCAAAAGTTAAAGATTATCAAAAAACAAACCTATTTCAACTGCTAGCTTACCAGGTTAAATGCAAAGAATCACGTGGCTAATTACAAATTGATTTCATTAAGTAGTAAAATTAAAATGAAACAAAGACTTTTGTCCAAAATAAAGAAGCATCCATAATCTAGTAGAGTTTGACAGAATTCAGTATATAAAAAAAAGTTAACAGAATAAGTGTTTACTTGATGTTAACACTGCCTGCACTTTGATCATTGAGGATCGTTTATATAATCTCTGCATTTTTATTATTTTTGATATATTAAGCTTTATA